TCCGGTTCGAAGATGACCAAATAATGTGGGAACCGACCTGTGAGATTTATATTTATTTAATTTATATGAATTTATATTTACGTTAATTTATATACTTCGATAGCAATTTGTATAATGATAAGTGGACTGTATTTCTGCAATAATCTTATAATCTCACAAATCGTTCCTCTACACTTTAGGGGGGGTTTATTAGTTTATATATATGCAGCCAATCAAACTACAGAGTTAACTACATACATTGAAGAGGTTCCTTATCTTATAGTACAGCAGGTTAGTCCACCAGGTATAACTAGGGTGTAGACACCAAATTATCCTCTTTGAGGTAGCTTCCATATCACCCAGTGACTGGTGCACAAATCTTCCTTCCTCGTCTTGACCTGTCAAAAGTGCGCTAGCTGTGAAGCCAGAATCCTATATATGACAAGCTATTTCAGAGAAAACACTATACAGTACATGGAACATTGAAGACCTGGCTTAATTACCTTTAGTTTGAGGCGATTTCGCGTTCTAACCGGCTAACCCTACCCAATGACATTAATGGCCACTAATGATAGATAATGGGTTTCGGATAGACACTTAACTTGATATGTAGACAGCGTGTTGAAAAATGGTACACCTTTGGTTTCCATAACACTACGTCCAAGTAAATTTAACAGGAGCCGAATTTGCTCCCGTGTGAGCCTCTGGTCTCAATATAAACAATGGCTGTTTAACACTCCATACTATTGACGTTACTGGCCGACATTGTCCAGATATGATAGGAGCCGAGTTTGCTCCACACGTCTAGGAGGTGACACAACAATGGCTCCCTCCTTCCTCCCTGACGCCTGGCCTACTTTGTCCAGATTTCAGAAAGTGATAGAAGGGTCACATTTACTCTACTTTAATATTGATAATTAAGTTAATTTATATAAGATGTTTTTATGATGGTAAAGTCCAAAGACTAATGTATTTAAGAATAATTCCCAGCAGAATAGCTGGTGAATTATAATAGTATGTGGTGATGATATCCCGTTTTCTTTAGACGGTAATTCCACTACAAGTTACGTTTTCTATGGGTAACTTGTTTATACAATACAGCTATTATCTGTATGATTATTAAATGGTGTCGGATTTTCCGACAATGAGTGTGTTTGTGTATGACTGACCATGAGTGTATGTGTATGACTAACCATGAGTGTGTGTGTGTATGACTGACCATGAGTGTTTGTGTATGACTGACCATGAGTGTATGTGTATGACTAACCATGAGTGTGTGTGTATGACTAACCATGAGTGTGTGTGTGTGTGTATGACTAACCATGAGTGTGTGTGTGTATGACTGACCATGAGTGTTTGTGTATGACTGACCATGAGTGTATGTGTATGACTAACCATGAGTGTTTGTGTATGACTGACCATGAGTGTTTGTGTATGACTGACCATGAGTGTTTGTGTATGACTGACCATGAGTGTTTGTGTATGACTGACCATGAGTGTTTGTGTATGACTGACCATGAGTGTTTGTGTATGACTGACCATGAGTGTTTGTGTATGACTAACCATGAGTGTGTGTGTATGACTGACAATGAGTGTATGTGTATGACTATCAATGAGTGTATGTGTATGACTGACCATGAGTGTATGTGAATGACTGACCATGAGTGTATGTGAATGACTGACCATGAGTGTATGTGAATGACTGACCATGAGTGTATGTGAATGACTGACCATGAGTGTATGTGTATGACTGACCATGAGTGTGTATGGCTGACCATGAGTGTGTGTGTATGACTGACTATGAGTGTATGTGTATGACTGACCATGAGTGTATGTGTATGGCTGACCATGAGTGTATGTGTGTGACTGACCATGAGTGTATGTGTGTGACTGACCATGAGTGCGTATGACTGACCACGAGTGTGTGTGTAAGACTAACCACGAGTGTGTGTGTATGACTAACCATGAGTGTGTGTGTATGACCACGAGTGTATGCGTATGACCACGAGTGTATGCGTATGACCGACCATGAGTGTATGTGTATGACCGACCATGAGTGTATGTGTATGACTGACCATGAGTGTGTGTGTACTTATCTACCCAAATAAAACTTCTCACAAGTCTTTAAATACATCTTAACACCAATCTTACGGGCTGTATAGTAGGCTCCGTCTCGGGACGCTGCCTCCGACGAGACGCTCTTCAGTATCCTTTTGTCCTGAAAGGAAAATATTTTCACGACCAACATTTGTGCTGCTACTCGGTCTCCTCCCCACCCACCCGCTCCCCTCCCCACCCACCCAATCCCCCCACCCGCTCCCTTCCCCACCCACCCAATCCCCCACCCGCTCCCCTCCCCACCCACCCAATCCCCCCACCCGCTCCCCTCCCCACCCACCCAATCCCCCCACCCGCTCCCCTCCCCACCCACCCAATCCCCCACCCACTCCCTCTCCACCCACCCAATCCCCCACCCGCTCCCTCCCCACCCACCCAATCCCCCACCCGCTCCCTCCCCACCCACCCAATCCCCCACCCGCTCCCCTCCCCACCCACCCAATCCCGCTCCCCTCCCCACCCACCCAATCCCCCACCCGCTCCCCTCTCCACCCACCCAATCCCCCACCCGCTCCCTCCCCACCTACCCAATCCCCCACCCGCTCCCCTCCCCACCCACCCAATCCTCCACCCGCTCCCCTCCCCACTTACCCAATCCCCCACCCGCTCCCCTCCCCACTTACCCAATCCCCCACCCGCTCTCCTCCCCCCCACCCAATCCCCCACCCGCTCCCTTCCCCACCCACCCAACCCCCCTCCCGCTCCCCTCCCCACCCACCCGCTCCCCTCCCCACCCACCCAATCCCTCACCCGCTCAAAATCCCCCACCCGCTCCCCTCCCCACCCACCCAATCCTCCACCCGCTCCCCTCCCCACCCACCCAATCCCCCACCCGCTCAAAATCCCCCACCCGCTCCCCTCCCCACCCACCCAATCCCCCACCCGCTCCCCTCCCCACCCACCCCCCCTCCCGCTCCCCTCCCCACCCACCCGCTCCCCTCCCTACCCATCCAATCCTCCACCCGCTCCCCAATCCCCCATCCCCCCATTCCACAATATCACCCCCCTCCCCCAGCTCCACCACTCCCCTCTTAGGGCTCCCAAAAGGCTGGAGCGAACATCGTTCTCAAACATTTCTGTGGCAGCCATCGCTAGATTTCCACCTTCAGAAAAGACTTGCAGAAAATAGAGGTATTTTGTTCAATCTTTTTGTTGGCGTGACGCTCTTTTGTGGCGCTCTGGTGTGTGGCGCTCTGGTGTGTGGCGCTCTGGTGTGTGGCGCTCTGGTGTGTGGCGCTCTGGTGTGTGGCGCTCTGGTGTGTGGCGCTCTGGTGTGTGTGTGTGGCGCTCTGGTGTGTGTGTGCTCTGGTGTGTGGCGCTCTGGTGTGTGTGGCGCTCTGGTGTGTGGCGCTCTGGTGTGTGTGTGTGGCGCTCTGGTGTGTGTGTGTGCGCTCTGGTGTGTGTGTGGTGTGGCGCTCTGGTGTGTGTGTGGCGCTCTGGTGTGTGTGTGTGGCGCTCTGGTGTGTGTGTGGCGCTCTGGTGTGTGTGTGTGTGGCGCTCTGGTGTGTGTGTGTGTGGCGCTCTGGTGTGTGTGTGTGTGGCGCTCTGGTGTGTGTGTGGTGTGGCGCTCTCTGCTGTGTGGCTCTCTGGTGTGTGTGTGTGTGGCGCTCTGGTGTGTGTGGCTCTCTGGTGTGGCTCTCTGGTGTGTGTGGCTCTCTGGTGTGTGTGGCTCTCTGGTGTGGCTCTCTGGTGTGTGTGGCGCTCTGGTGTGTGTGGCGCTCTGGTGTGTGTGGCGCTCTGGTGTGGCTCTCTGGTGTGTGTGGCGCTCTGGTGTGTGTGGTGCTCTGGTGTGTGTGGTGCTCTGGTGTGTGTGTGGTGCTCTGGTGTGTGTGTGGCGCTCTGGTGTGTGTGGCGCTCTGGTGTGTGTGGCGCTCTGGTGTGTGTGGTGCTCTGGTGTGTGTGGCGCTCTGGTGGGGTGCTCTGGTGTGTGTGGGGCTGTGGTGTGTGTGTGTGGGGCTCTCTGGTGTGTGTGTGTGTCGCGCTCTGGTGTGTGTGTGTGGCTCTCTGGTGTGGCTCTCTGGTGTGAGTGGCGCTCTGGTGTGTGTGGCTCTCTGGTGTGTGTGGCTCTCTGGTGTGTGTGGCTCTCTGGTGTGTGTGGCTCTCTGGTGTGAGTGGCTCTCTGGTGTGTGTGGCTCTCTGGTGTGTGTGGCTCTCTGGTGTGTGTGGCTGTCTGGTGTGGCTCTCTGGTGTGAGTGGCGCTCTGGTGTGTGTGGCTCTCTGGTGTGTGTGGCGCTCTGGTGTGTGTGGCTCTCTGGTGTGTGTGGCTCTCTGGTGTGTGTGGCTCTCTGGTGTGTGTGGCTCTCTGGTGTGTGTGGCGCTCTGGTGTGTGTGGCGCTCTGGTGTGTGTGGGGCTCTGGTGTGTGTGGGGCTCTGGTGTGTGTGGGGCTCTGGTGTGGCTTTCTGGTGTGTGTGTGGTGCTCTGGTGTGTGTGTGGCGCTCTGGTGTGTGTGTGGCGCTCTGGTGTGTGTGTGGCGCTCTGGTGTGGCTCTCTGGTGTGTGTGGTGCTCTGGTGTGTGTGGGGCTCTGGTGTGTGTGGTGCTCTGGTGTGTGTGGCGCTCTGGTGTGTGTGGCTCTCTGGTGTGTGTGGCTCTCTGGTGTGTGTGAGCCGCTCTGGTGTGTGTGAGCCGCTCTGGTGTGTGTGGCGCTCTGGTGTGTGTGGCTCTCTGGTGTGTGTGGCTCTCTGGTGTGTGTGAGCCGCTCTGGTGTGTGTGGCGCTCTGGTGTGTGTGTGTGGCGCTCTGGTGTGTGTGGCGCTCTGGTGTGTGTGGCGCTCTGGTGTGTGTGGCGCTCTGGTGTGTGTGGCGCTCTGGTGTGTGTGGCGCTCTGGTGTGTGTGGCGCTCTGGTGTGTGTGGCGCTCTGGTGTGTGTGACGCTCTGGTGTGTGGCGTTAACGGTACTGTTATCATGGGAGATGAGGTCAACGGTACTGTTAACATGGGAGATGAGGTCAACGGTACTGTTGACATGGGAGATGAGGTCAACGGTACTGTTAACATGGGAGATGAGGTTAACGGTACTATTAACATGGTAGACGAGGTCAACGGTACTGTTAACATGGTAGATGAGGTCAACGGTACTGTTATCATGGGAGATGAGGTCAACGGTACTATTAACATGGGAGATGAGGTCAACGGTACTATTAACATGGGAGATGAGGTCAACGGTACTGTTAACATGGGAGATGAGGTCAACGGTACTGTTGACATGGGAGATGAGGTCAACGGTACTGTTAACATGGGAGATGAGGTTAACGGTACTGTTGACATGGGAGATGAGGTCAACGGTACTGTTGACATGGGAGATGAGGTTAACGGTACTATTAACATGGTAGACGAGGTCAACGGTACTGTTAACATGGGAGATGAGGTCAACGGTACTGTTGACATGGGAGATGAGGTTAACGGTACTATTAACATGGTAGACGAGGTCAACGGTACTGTTGACATGGGAGATGAGGTTAACGGTACTATTAACATGGGAGATGAGGTCAACGGTACTGTTAACATGGGAGATGAGGTTAACGGTACTGTTGACATGGGAGATGAGGTCAACGGTACTGTTGACATGGGAGATGAGGTTAACGGTACTATTAACATGGTAGACGAGGTCAACGGTACTGTTAACATGGGAGATGAGGTCAACGGTACTGTTAACATGGGAGATGAGGTTAACGAAGTTCCCCGTGACTGTATACAGTAACAGTGAGGCATTTTTTAATATAACTTTTTATTTTGTTTCAGGTAATGCCCGTGAGTCGGATGATGGGAGAGTTGTATGGTAACCTGTAAGGTAGGCCTATATCTGGTGACCTACAAGGTAGGCCTATATCTGGTGACCTACAAGGTAGGCCTATATCTGGTGACCTACAAGGTAGGCCTATATCTGGTGACCAACAAGGTAGGCCTATATCTGGTGACCTACAAGGTAGGCCTATATCTGGTGACCTACAAGGTAGGCCTATATCTGGTGACCAACAAGGTAGGCCTATATCTGGTGACCTACAAGGTAGGCCTATATCTGGTGACCAACAAGGTAGGCCTATATCTGGTGACCTACAAGGTAGGCCTATATCTGGTGACCTACAAGGTAGGCCTATATCTGGTGACCAACAAGGTAGGCCTATATCTGGTGACCTACAAGGTAGGCCTATATCTGGTGACCAACAAGGTGGGCCTATATCTGGTGACCTACAAGGTAGGCCTAATATCTGGTGACCTGCAAGGTAGGCCTATATCTGACCTACAAGGTAGGCCTCTATCTGGTGACCTGCAAGGTAGGCCTCTATCTGGTGACCTACAAGGTAGGCCTCTATCTGGTGACCTACAAGGTAGGCCTAATATCTGGTGACCTACAAGGTAGGCCTAATATCTGGTGTCCTGTAGGCTTTCCTCATGTTCCGTAGCCTGACAGAGGCTGGCTTTCATTTTGTTCCATAGCCTGAGATTTTATATATAAAACAGTGAGCTTCCTTTCTCCGCCCCCCCCCCCCTGTCCTACTGTTTACCCTACCCGCCTCTTACCCTCTCCCCCTCCCCCTCCCCCTCCCCCTCCCACTCCCCCTCCCGCTCCCCCTCCCACTCCCCCTCCCACTCCCCCTCCCACTCCCCCTCACCCACCCCTACCCTACCAAGTGTTATGTGGTCGTGCTGGTTTGGTGGGTTCTCTCTATTTTAAATTTTACAGATGGAGAGGGTTCGGAGTGGAGGAAATGGAGGAGAGGATTTTGGGATAGAGAGTGGAGTGGAGGAGAGGGGGAGTGGGAGAGAGGTTGAGAGGTGGGAGAGGGAGGGAGGAAGAGGGGGGAGAAAAGACCTGGTACCTATACCTGTCTGAGGTTATAAATCACAGGCAAGCTTCACCCAGCTTTCAAGATGACACATGGATGGTACGTGACTGTCATAGACTGGTTGGCCCCCCTTCATCTACCCCCCCCCCCCGTTTCCCCTGCAATATTTTGAGTAATTCATCATCTTTTCGTAACATTGCATTTCCTGAGAAGAGAGGGAGAGGGGTGGAGGTGAAGAAGGGGAAAGAGTGCATGAGAGAGTGAGTGAATATGAGAGAGAGAGAGAGAGAGAGAGAGAGAGAGAGAGAGAGAGAGAGAGAGAGAGAGAGAGAGAGAGAGAGAGAGAGAGAGATAAGGGGAGGAGAGAGGGAGAGGGGGGGGGGAGAGACCCAGCCACTTCCTGACACAGAAATCGAGTCCAGGGGAGGGAGGGGAAAGAGAGAGAGAGGTAGAGAGAGAGAGAGAGGGAGAGATAGAGAGGGGGGGAGGGAGAGAGGGGGGGGGGAGAGAGGGAGAGAGAGGGAGAGGGAGGGAGGGAGGGAGGGAGGGAGGGAGGGAGGGAGGGAGGGAGGAAGAGGGAGGGAGGGAGGGAGGGTGAGGAAGGATGAGGAAGGGTTTAGGGGAAGTGTGTGCATTCACCTAGTTGTGCTTGCAGGGATTGAGCTCTGCTCTTTCGGCCCGCCTCTCAACTGTCAATCAATCAACTGTTACTAACTAGGGAACCGGTGGCTAAGCGGACAAAACACTGGGCGCGTGATGCTGTGGTCCCGGGTTCGATCCCGGGCGCCGGCGAGAAACAAGGGCAGAGTTTCTTTCATCCTGATGCGCCTGTTACCTAGCAGTAAATAGGTACCTGGGAGTTAGTCAGCTGTCACGGGCTGCTTCCTCGGGGGTGGAGGCGTGGTCGAGGACCGGGCCGCGGGGACACTAAGCCCAGAGATCATCTCAAGATAACCTTAAGATAACTACTGTTTTGATCCCAGGTAGCCTGAAGAACGAGTCTACCCCTATGAGAGTTATTCGACCTACTAGACCCAGTTGAGAGGTCAGAGGAAACATAGACGTGTGAATATATATTAAATACTTGGCAAATGTTAATGAATAGTTTAAAAGCATGGACAGAGGATGAACACGTAAATAAGTGACATGACATGAGCTTGACCACTATCTACGTGAATGTGAACACCTGAGACACATTAGGAATATGTGTAGAATAATAAACCCCACATTGTGTGAGTTAGGAAAACACTATTTGTCAAATATTGATGCTGATCTTAAAAGATTTCCCCATTTTGCACCCGCAAGATAACGTAAGCTTTTAAGGGTTGATAAATGTTGATCTTCTTGTTTGAGGAGCTGTTCACTTGAGACAGTTAAGCAAGTCCCAGCTGTGTCTGGGTACAAGTGACAGGATGAACAACCCAGCGGGTTTTCTTCCTATTGGGGAGTGTTGTACATTCTGCTATGGCGGTATGTTCACTCACAAGATGAGTGGCGCTGCCCAATAAACTCGCCCCTCGGGGCAAAATTTAAAAATTTAAAATGAGATGTCGATATTTTGCTGACAAGGTGTGAGGCTCCTTGTGGATGTCTTGACCTCACTTGAGCAGCAGAGGTCGTGAGAGGAGGATGTACTGTGCATGTGCTCCTGGCAGCAAAGGAGGAACCCCTAGTTGTGTACTCTTTCAAGAGGAGGGAATCAGTCAGGCGTGTATGTAGTGTGGGGGGGTGGGGGAGGAAGACGTATATGCGCGCTCCGTTAAAATCTTGACATTTACTGGGATTTCTTAGGATTTCAGCCATAGATTACTGATTACAGACATCACAAAGTACATAGTGACCAGTTGGAAAGTTGAATACAGTCATTAACAATTGAACTTTGTGTTAAATAGAGAATAAACGTGGGACCACGTGGGAGCCAGTGCCATGATGTTCTGTGTACATGGTTTAGGCGATATATGAAATATAGTGAACAGTGATACGTGGAACAGTGAAGTGGAATGGGTAACACAACACACACGTAAGTTGGAAGTGTAGGAGAATCGTGGCAAGAGACGGCATCACGCTAGGCTGTGTTTACACCAGCCACGAGGCCTACCCAGGGTATGGCACGTCCCTCAGTGACAATATACGGACAATATATAGTGTAATATGGAACTGTGGCTCTAGGAATTAGTAATAGTGAGTGAATACTATTGCAAGCCGAAAATTAGGCAGAGAATTCCTTGTAATAATACAAGCAAATAATGTAAGCCCGAAAAGCTTTGCGTAATAGTGGCTTTAGGCATTGTATGTACTAGCTCTACCTATAAGTCAACCAATCTTTGTAAAAATTTCTTGTATGTATGTACCTTACCTAAATAAACATTTATTTTATTTATTTTAAATCAGTGTTATAAATTGAGAAACTGGAAACTGGTAGTATCCATCTTGGGACAACAATGGTCAACTGTACAGCACACTGGGACCATCTTTTCTACCATACGCTAAGTACCTTCCCATAAAGTTTGAACAAATTCACATATATAATATTACAAATATACGGTATACATAAAATATTATAAATATACGGTATACATAAAATATTATAAATATACGGTATACATAAAATATTATAAATATACGGTATACATAAAATATTATAAATATACGGTATACATAAAATATTATAAATATACGGTATACATAAAATATTATAAATATTTACATATAATATTATAAATATATACATATAATATTATAAATAGTAAAATTACTGAAGTGAACACGTGATCCATACAGTGAAGCACAAACACAATACAATACATCAGACAATGGAGGTGCGAGGCAAATGTTTTGAAGAATTTAAAAGACGTACTGCAGGCGTCAAGTGTTGCATCTATAACACAATATTTCACCTGAGCTGTGCAGAATTATCTACAGCATACACAGACAAGGAATATACTGGGTTTGCAAAAATGACAGGTTAATATGGGAAAACATAACTGATGAAAAAGATTCCAGAATCACAGAGATTAACATTGACAGAAAAGTTACCAGTGATATATGCGGACTGTGAAAAGACCACACTGGATAACGACCAAAACTCAGGAACAAATAATTTAGAGAATTACTTCACACACAGCAGTAGTTTGAAGGAAGAGGTTATTGTTGTACAAAACGAGCAATATTGCAGAACCAAGTAATATAAACAATGAGAGCAACAGTGGGAAAGAATGCATAAACGAAGGAATTGGGACGAATGACGGTGATGTCTTGGCTACCTCCAATAAAGAGGTAGCCAAGACAGTTACAAATATCCTGAAAAAGTAAACACTGAAAATATTTGCAAATTCTATGCACAAGGAATATGCAAATGTGGTAAATTAGGTGCAAAATGCACTTTTCAGCATCCTCGAAAATGCAGGGACATGTTGGCGAGGGGTACATGCCGTTTTGGAATGGTGTGCAGATACTTCCACCCTAAACTATGTAAATTTTTAATTGGGGACAAAAAATGTTACAATCTTCAGTGTCCGGAATTCCACGTGAGAGGTACACAGCATTATAGACGGGAAGATCAATATGATACTACTGGAAATTTTTTAGAGGAAGGCAGAAACAGAGTAGAACATACAAGAGAGAGAGAGAAACAGTCAGATAGAACCACTGCAGGATTACAGAGAAGAAGGAAGATACCCACAAGACTGGAATACAAATCATCAACAAGCACACAGGTACTACACCACACAACAACCACACTACTACAAAACTGGACGAACCACTACCAAAACACACCCTGGACATGGGTGGAGAGAGGGGCGGACTACCAAAGCACACCAGAAGTAACATGCAATATGAGAAATCATTCATATTTGCAAACATACAAGTCCTAAAACCAAAATCAAGAAATAAAGTTAAGTTCATAAATGAC